TGCTTGGCCTTTCTCAAAATCATCTCCCAAGTGAAATCCCTATTTCCATATGTCAAATGTCTTTAATAATTCTTCTTGATTTATCCCATAGCAATCTTTCCGGAGAAATTCCAAAATGAAATGGCAATGTTTCAAGCTATAATATTCTAAGTTTTATCGATATAATAACTTTTTGGGTTCAATTCCATAATGGATAGGGAGCCTACCAATGTTATTATCATGATACCTCAACAACAATGTTGTTCAGGGGGTGATACCCTTTTTTAAAAACTACAAAACACGTCTAAGTCGTAAGGGCAAAGGACAAATAGTTGTATTCCAAACGCGCAACAGCTAATCGTTAATCAAGCCGTCAAAATGATACGAATGAAGGCAAAAAGAGTGATAAAGCTCAACAGGAGCAATCAAAGATAGGAAGGAGTAATCCTTAACAGGTCGAGGTAGTAAGGTCGGGGCACCACAGACCTGTCATCATAAGCCTCTGGGACCCTAAGTCTACCTAGTCATGAAGGTAGTCGACCTAACACGTCTAGAGATCCTCAGTCAGCAAGCGGTGAATTACCTCGTCTGCAGGGATCTCGGTAGCCCTACGTCAAATGAAAGTAACTCTATCCTGTGACTATCAGGAAGAGGTCCAAAAGGTGGTATACTCGTCGAAGTGGAGATGATGCTGATGAAAAGGAAAAGGATGGGAGATTCAACTAAAAAGTTGAAAACGCTCGAGAAAAGAACTTACAATTCATCTGGATCAGGGACCCTTCTAAAGAACTAAGCGTGCTAGACAACAACCTAAGTAGAAATTTATGCTAGGTCAGTCGGGTTGGAGAAGCACGGGGGCTTCACCTCGGGACTTTCATATGATGTAGTTATCTACCACAATCCTAAGTGTGGAGGCCCTATTAGTATGACTTGGGATGTGTCCATGCAATACAACCCGTTTTAAAATCGGCCCGAAGGTCATGCAACGAAGTAAAAGACAAATTTTAAAATCTTGAATATTTTAATCCTAAATTTTAATTAGTCTTAAAATTTTATTAGAATTTTGTAAAAAAAAAGTTTACAATTTTAGGTCCTTAGAGAGCTTATATGATCCACATGATTCCTACACAATCCACAAAATAAAAAAAGGGCAGAAAAGCAATTCTAGCACACAGGCATGCAAGAGAAGCAATAAGGCAAGCCAAATATGAAAAAAGAATAAGTCGGTGCCGCTAGGTCGACAACATATCCCAAAAACATAAAAAGACAACCAGACACCAAGAAGTACACATGTGGTCCTAATTCTATACATAAATGAGATTTAGAGAAACATAAAAAGACAACCAGACACCAAGAAGTACACATGTGGTCCTAATTCTATACATAAATGAGATTTAGAGTTAAGATACAGGACACAAGCAAGCAGCGCTTAGTCCCCGACACGTGGTTCTACTCATCTTGTAGTGTAATTACGTTGATTGGTCTGTTGGGGCGGCGTGGCCACACCACTTGTGGTCGTGGTGTCGACAAACTTTGGCACCTGCTGAGATTTGGGCGTGGTCACGCTCACCTTGCAGCATAATCATGCCGCAGTCTCTTTTTGGTCAATGTGGCCACGCCGACCACATCCACTTTATGTTCTTCGGGTAGGTCTTGGCGTCGCCACACCCGGTTTAGGCATGGTCACGCCACTAAGTAGGCGTGGTCATGTCAGACCCCCGCAAGATTGGTTTCCAGAGAAGTTTGGCAAGGGAGGTCTGGATCTCATGGGTCTTCCAGAGGATCAAATGTGAGCATGTAATGATACTTGGACCTTCATAGGGACAAAAAATGTATCTCAAAAGAGTTCGAGAGGCTGAACCATCTGCGTATCATCGAGCAGAGCGGTTTCAACATAAAATCCATCTATCCAGGCCTTGGACTTAAGGTCTGAACACGATGTGGCGTACTGTAGTTGACGGTCTGTGCCAAGGGAATGTCCATATCAGCAAGACATGACCCAGTGACACGGAAACGAACGTTAACCTGGAGGAAACCGAAAGCAATGTCTGCTTGGTAATGCTCAACTCAGAGCCTGACTATGATGATGGAGAAACCAATTATAGTGTCGTGTCATTTGACGAGGTTATCCTGTGTATGTCACACTACAAATAGATGCCAAAAATCTTATATTTCCAATTAAGGGGCTCGATCTTTCGATTTCCGTGAATATTATAAAAAATGGATGCCAATAATCTCACTAGTGAAGTTCTTAATCAAATAATGACTCTTTTTGGATTGATAAGCTTGAATGTATCAAGAAACCAATTCATGCCACAAATTCCAAAAAAACATTGGCATTATGCAAAGCTTAGAAAGTTTGGATCTCTTAGTGACCCATTTCTAAGGAGAAATTTCAGAGAGCATTGTGAAGGCAATTAGATGGTGGTAATTTATGTGCTTGAGTTCTTCCACAATTGTTGTGTGATTTCAATATTATATTATAAAATATTGCAATAAGATTTAGCATTAAAGTTTTCTTCTTATTTTTTGATAACAAAACGGTTAGACCATAATGCATTATCATGATAATTATTCCATTAAATAAATTATATACAATGCATCAAAAAAACATATTAACTTCTTGTTTTTTTTAATTATTTTTTTATTATTTTTTAATCTTAGTTTTACTACAAAATTAATTTTTAAGCTATGATTAATAAATACTTCAAATCTAATTCAAGTAGGATAAAAATATTAATGCAGACCACACAATTACTAAGTTCTTGCATATATATAACACTTAAATGATAAATTTTATATGAAAAATATCACTTTTACAATCTTCTTAAAAGCAAAATACACATTTTTTTATTTAAATTTATGGCACTAAAATATTACAAGTATTATTATAAAAATTTAGGTGCTAAATATGTAAATACATAAGAATTGTGAGATGTATGTAAAATCAAGTTCATATCAGCCCAAATCAAAGCCACGCATTCATTATCAAGTTAAGTTTTTTAATTAAAAGTCTCTTCTCTTTAATTTATTTCTTGGATGATGATATAGAATATAAGCTTTTTAATTGAAATATCACTATAAACATTTATATTTATCCATTAAAACACCAAATTTATTTCATAATAACTAATATGTCATTCAATTTTTAACTATATATATATATATATATATATATAGTAGATTAATATTATTTATAATAAATTATGAAGAATGCATGTTAAATCAATATATAACATTAATACACATATATGAGGGGTGTGAAGCAAGCAAAATTACTCAAATTCAAAATGTGACGTTCTTAGTAATAATGTTCATTGCACCCGATCATGATACTATTTGAGAGAGCTATAATATTGATGATCAGTACTGACAATAAATATTATCTTCTAGCAGTAATCATCTGATTGTCATTATCTAAACAATGATCACTTGGGTATCTGCACAAGACTGTCTCATGATCGTCATTGTTTATTGATCAAATCGATATCTATTGATCCTCTTTTGTCTCTTAAACATCATTCTCACCTTTCACCCAACATTTTCTTCTTCAACTAAATAATATTGAGCTTGTGTTTTATATATATTTTTTGTATTGTCATCTTCTTATATTAACAAAATTAGTATGATTTTATTATTTTGGTTAATATCAATTGGGCATATATTTTTTTTCTTTTTCCAACATTCTTAGGTAAAACCTTTTGGGCCATAATCAATGCATTAAGTCAGTCTAAGTTAAATTGCAATAAACTCAAATCGACTCATGAATCAACTCGAGTTAAGCTAAGTTTGATGAGCTAAAAGGCATAGCTTAAGACAATCATACTCGACCCATTAGCTAGTGATTCAACTAATGTTTTATTAAAAAAAATATTAATAAAAAGTACATTAAAATATATTAAATTTTAATATTTGGATGGGTTAATTAATTAGTAAGTATTTTATTTATATAAGTTTCGTTGGAAAAACTCACACATGAGGAATTCCAAGTCAAGGTCACACATTCGTCAATGCAGTAAGTCAGTCAATGCGGTAAGTCAGTCCACACATTCGTCATCAATATAGTAAGTCAGTCAATGGGGTAAGTCAGTCCACTATGACGGTTATAGCTTATATTATTCAACACAATATATCAAATCAATAATCACAAGCCAATTTTACATATGTACAACACAATTCTTATGAATCTATATATCTTACAATTTGATATTTACAATTAAAACACTTTGGTGTTATATATTTATGCAAAAAAATATGCATTTGATCAATATTAAAATGTTAGTAAGAATGATATATTTAATGTAATGTTAAATATTAAAGTTTAGGTGTTAGATATGTAAATAAATAAGAATTGTGTGGTATGTATGTAAATGCCCCTTTTTTTTAAAAAATTGTTGATATAGAGTTATTTTAATTGAATTGAAATTAAGATTAAATTAATTTGAATCAAGCATTATGTTCTCTTGCAATTTTCTACTGAAATGACATAAATATTATTTATCTCAATTATTTTAGCAGTAATCATTCTATCATCATCACAATTTATCTCAATCCATTTATATTTCAACTTTATATTAATTAAAATCATAATTCATTTTTTATAATCATTTTATAAAATAAAATTTAATTTATTGCAAAAAAAAAAAAAAACATACAATATATTTACTAAAAATCAGCAAAATTATTTCGAGTGAAATGATTTAGAGTTATTAATCATATTTTTTAGTACAAATATTATCTATAAAATATTAAAATTTAATGTCCCAATCTAAGTTAAATAAGCTCATTAATGCATCTATATGAGTCATAGCTTGACAGTAGAAGAAATAAACCAATTATAATGAGCTATAAATAAACATTTATTTTCACAATGCATTCGCACTTAATAGGGCTCAATGGAGGCACAAATTAATCTTATAGAATAATAAATAATTTACAAGTTGGTGGAGAGAGAATTATTTCTGCAAGCTCATGCTATAAATAGATATAAGAGTAAGAGAGCCAAAATTATAGAAATTATAATGGGAAGAGTTGAGGTTCTTCTATTATTGATTGTTACTTTGTTGCCTTTCACCAGCTTCATACTGAGAAGTAAAGGCAGTGTAGCTATTAGCAAAGTGCACCAACGTTGTAACTTTGAGGAAAGGAATGCCCTCCTTAGCTTTAAGCAAAGTCTATTTGATCCTCTGCTCGCTCTCTCGACTTGGAAGATAGGTGAAGATTGTTGCACATGGGAGGGTGTGAGTTGCAGTAATACAACAAATCATGTCATCAAGCTCGATTTGAGTGAGGAAGGCTCCTTAAATGCCACATCAGTAGTTCCATCACTTTTTCTCTTGAAACACTTACAATACTTGTGTCTTTCAGCCATTTCCTTCAATCAAGCGAGCATACCTCATTCTATTGGTTCCCTCACTAAATTGAGATATCTTGACGTCTCCTATTCTGGGTTTGTCGGAGTGATACCACCTCATCTCGGAAACTTGACAGATCTTCATTATCTTGATCTCAGTGGGAATTATTTGGTTGCACTTAACCTCACATGGATGTCACATCCCTCCTCCTTAAATATTATCGATATGTCTGATGTGAATCTAACATCTGCTATGAACTGGTTACATGAGATTAAGGTACTTCCATCTCTTTCTATTTTATATTTATCATTTTGCAACCTACAAACACTTCCAACTTCACTTCCATATTCTAATTTTTCATCGACCTTGAACACATTTGATCTTTCTTATAACAATCTTAGTGGGAGATTGCCGAACTGGCTAGGACAATTTAAATGCTTAAAAATAATACATCTTCAATCAAACAATTTCAATGGACCTATTTCATTTTCCTCCTTGAACTCGTTATGTGTTCTTAATGATTTAAACCTAGCCATTAACAATTTTATAGAATTACTTGAAGATGGAAGTGTTTTAAAATGCAAAGAATATAACATGATGTATATGGATATCTCATACAACCAACTGAGGGGAAGCATACCAGAATGGATTGGAAAGATGAGAAATTTAAGAAAGCTTGATTTTGGAAATAATCAACTTAATGGATCTATTCCACAGAGCCTTGGCCAACTCATAAACTTGGTTTATTTGGACCTTCATTCCAACCATTTGCAGGGTAGTATCTCAGATATTATTTTTGCAAATCTATCACAATTGTATCACTTAGATCTTTCAGACAACGATTTGGATTTTAACTTGATTAGCTTTAATTGGATTCCCCCATTTCAAACCTCTTTCCTTTCCATAAGCTCTTGCCTTATAGGACCTCAATTCCCAATATGGCTTCGGAATCAAAATTCTCTTTCTCATTTAGAGATCTCCAATTGTGGTATTTTTGATATCATTCCAAGTTGGTTTTGGAATATTACTTCTCAAATAACGTACTTAAACATATCTCAAAATGAAATTCGAGGTGAACTTCCCATGTCTCTCAATAATACCTTAGCAGTCACCATCGACCTAAAATCAAATCAATTGGAAGGACGTCTTCCTCAGCTGTTGAATAATGTGGCTTTTGTATTTTTTTCTAATAATAAGTTCTCAAGTGGGATTGAGTTGTATCTGAATGCAAACATGAGTTTCTTGAAAGTTCTTGACCTATCACAAAATCATCTCTCCGATGAAATCCCATATTCAATATGTCAATTGCCTCCAATAATTCTTCTTGACCTGTCACATAATAATCTTTTGGGAGAAGTTCCAAAATGTCATGGTAGTACTTCAAGCCATACAAAGCTACAATTTATCAGCCTTGCATATAACAACTTATGGGGTTCAATTCCGCAATGGATAGGCAACCAATCAATTTTATCATCGTTGCACCTAAACAATAATGAATTTCAAGGGGAGATACCATCTCTCCAAAATTGTAGCAAGCTTATCACAATTGATTTGGGACATTGATTTGGGACAAAATTATTTTGGGACAAAATTATCTTACAGGAAACATACCTTCATGGATTGGAGATAGATTATTGTCCCTAAAAATCTTACGCTTACGGTCGAACAAATTTTATGGTTCCATTCCCTCACAGCTATCCAAACTAAAAGGACTTCAAATCCTGGATATTGCAGATAATTTTCTTTCAGGGCCAATACCAAAATCTTTTAAGCTTCTCAATTCAATGACCATACAAAATAAGAGGCTCCAACCTCTTATTCCCAGTGACAATGTTTTTTTTCAAAAAAGAGTGCAAGGAAGTCATGTAATTATTAGCAGCGATTCTAATATATATTGGTCTGATGCATTAATGATTAATATAAAAGGAATAGATCGTGAATTCACAGACATACTCTCTCTAGTGAATATTATAGATCTTTCTTGTAATAATCTCACTGGAGATGTTCCTATTGAATTAATGAGCTTGGTTGGATTGATAAGCTTAAATTTATCCAGAAATGAACTCAAGGGACGGATCCCAATCAATATTTGTGATATGCAAAGCTTAGAAAGTTTGGATCTCTCGAAGAACCATTTCTCAGGAGAAATTCCAGAGAGCATTGCGAAGCTAAGTAAATTGAACTATCTGAACTTATCTTACAATCAATTGTCAGGTAGAATCCCGAGAGGGACCCAACTTGACACCTTTAAAGAATTAAGTTATTATGGAAATTCTGAACTTTGTGGAATGCCACTTTCGAAGACTTGTGAAGATGATGACCCTAATAGTCACACTAGAGAAAACAATTTCAATGATGATGACGCTGAGGACGATAATTTTGGTTTGTTCCTTAGTATAGGTCTTGGTTTTGCTGTTGGACTATGGGGTGTACTCGGAACCTTATTGCTCAAGATGTCATGGGCAATCACTTACTTTCAGTGGTATGATAATCTGACAAACAATATTTATGTATATGTAGTTGTAAGAATAAATCGATGGTTTAATAATTAAATTAATGATATATATATATATATATATATATATATACCTCCAAACATTTTTGACATCACATCAAAATATTGTTATTTTAATTTTTTAAAGGTGAAATGAATCTTTTGATGCACAAATAATATGAGGAGTTTAGATGTTAGTTATGTAAATACATAAGAATTAAGTGTTATGCCTGTAAATTTTACTATTATTTAATGTTGCTGATACAGACCGTATTTAAATCGAACTGAAATTAAGATCAAACAAAATTTGATTTGAGAATAATTAGAGATGCAGCCATTCTGTGTATGGGATGCTAATTGATAACGAAGGAGTTGCCTTGACTTGGGCTTCATCTTGCGTTAGTGATATTTCCAACAACATTTACATAATTAAAGTAATAATTAATTAATTAATGAGATTAATATTGGCCTATCTTTGAAAGATCCAAATATTGAATTTTAATATATTGTTAATGTAATTTATATTAATATTTTTTAAAAAAAAAATAAAGCTGTTTTATGAACTAATGAGTGTAGTAGGGGTTGTCTTGAGCTAGGCCTTGAGCTAGCTCAAGACAATATGAATTGATTGACTCACTGCATTATGATGAATTGATGATTGCATAAATTTTGGCAAAATTTCTCAGGCTACAATATATATTGCACATTTGTCTTGGGTGATTGCAGTTGTTAAAAGTTGCTGGGACTCTAATATCCTATCTTTAAGATGCATTGCTACCATGTGTTTAGGGCGTTTGTTACTCTGCCTGGTGTTTCGTTGTTTCATAACGTACACTGAAATTTACAATATATGTTGGGAGATTCATGCGTGTCATGAAAATTTTTCTTATTTATGTGTGAATTATGTTCCTAATAAACCAAAAAATAATTTAGATAAAATAAAACTCAAACAATACTCCAATGACTGAAAAATTGAAGATTTCTTTTTCTTATATATTATAGTTATCTTTTTTTTTTTTTTTTTTTTTTTTTTTGGGTATGCGGAGCACGTATGTGCCATCAAAATATTTTCATAATTTATTTTATTTTATTTCAATATTTAATGCTTCTTTGAACGGTAGAGAATTAGGAATGATATATAATGGTGGACTTATTTTAATGCATGTTATTATTAAAATAATATTCAAATTAATGAAGGAGGATTTACATACATACCACTCAATTTTGCTAGTTTCTTACGGCTCAAGTTGAGCTGTATGTCACGGACAGAAAGTCCCACATCGGCTAGATGTAGGGCCAAAAAGCAGTATTTAAGTCCTTCCTGGGCTGCCCACCATCTCGAAGAGCTCTTTTGGGAGGTGATAAGTGGTATCAGAGCAGATTACTGTCCGTCAGGTGTGTGGACTCTCCATGGTCCAATAAGACCCTCGGTGGCGCCGATCCGTGACGAAGGCGTCACGTGATTGGATGGAGAAGAATGTCAAGGACAAAAAGTCCCACATCAGCTAGGTGTAGGGCCGAAAAATAATATTTAAGTCTCGGGCTGTCCATCAACCCTAAGAGCTCTTTTGGGAGGTGACAAGTGGTATCAGAGCAGATTGTTGTCTGCCAGGTGTGTGGATTCTCCATAGTCCAGTGGGACCCTCAGATAGTCCGGTGGGCCCCTCAGTGGAGCCAATCTGTGAATGTCACAGACAAAAAGTCTCACATCAGCTAGGCGTAGGGCCACGAAAAGCAGTATTTAAGTCATTGGCTGTCCACCACCTCGAAGAGCTCTTTTGGGAGTTGATAAGTGGTATTATAGCATATTACTGTCTGTCGGGTGCTGTCTGTCGGGTGTGTGGCCTCTTAATGATCCAGTGAGACCCTCGGTGGAGCCGATTCGTGACAAGGGCGTCACATGATTGGGTGGAAGAGAATTTCACGGACAAAAAGTCCCACATCGGCTAGGTGTAGGGCCAAAAAACAGTATTTAACTCTTGGGCTGCCCACCACCCCTAAGAACTCTTTTGAGAGGTCACATTTAGCTTTTGTATGGTTGGGCTGTCCACCACCCCTAAGAGCTCTTTTGAGATGTCACATTTAGCTTTTGTATGGGAGTATAAAACAATATTTAATCATTAAAAATGTAATTTCTAGGTTCTCTTTGCCTCCTTGCATAATGATCACGTGAAGAGAACCTTATTATTCATTGGAAGATTTACATGCATGCCACTTAATTCCTGTGTATTGATATATCTAATTTTTAAATTTTAATGTTTAGATAAATGATAACTTATTTATAACAAGAAAAAAATATATTTCAATCTAAAATATGCCGCTGGAATTCTAAAACAATGCATTGATCAACGTTTGATGCTAATAAGCTATTTTGAGGATCCTAAACTTTATGGACTCACTTAGAGTTAGGAAACAAACATAAAAAAAAAATAAATATTAATTAATTAATGAGATTAATATTAGCCTTGCTATCCAAATATTGAATTTTAATATATTTTAAAAGTATTTTATATTAATAATTTTCTTAAAAAAAACTGACTCACGAGCAAATGTGTGTGGGAGTTGTCTTAAGCTAGGCCTTTTAGCTCATCGAGTTTAGCTTACGAGTGTCTAATTAAGCTAAACTCGAACCGATTCATGATTCAACTTGAATTTGCTACACCCACAAACTTAGGGTGCATTTGTTTCTGCTTTTTGTTCGACTTTGAAATCGAGTTTTCAAATCAGGCGTTTTATTGTACTTCGTTGTGACACATTATAAACTCGCAACAAACATTTTCAATAAAAAGGTGTTGGAATTTTGCTTGGTTGTTACTTGTCGATCAGAAAAAGGTTGCTTCGAAGCGGAAAGTAATCCCGAAGAATCCATAATAAAAGATGTCTCGCCATAATTTGAAGAGGAAATCAAATCTGCAGTTGACGAGCTAAAAAAGATCAATCTAGGGATCAACGAGAATCTTAGGCCTACTTTCATAAGTTCCTTGCCCAGTAATGAAGAATCCTCGGATTTAGTCAATCTAGGGAATGTTTTGCCTAGAGCAACAACTAGATTCCAGGTTTAGAACAAGAGGTCGCAGTTCACAGACTTGGAATAGACCCATCTATAACCCCGGTTAAGCAAGCTCCAGGATGATGTGTCTCAAATTCGAGCAACAAGTTACTCCTGGGGTCAAGAAGTTAATTGATGCTAACTTCGTACGAGAAGATCAATTTCTGAGGATTGTTTTGAACGATTACAACAATTTAATCTTAAAATGAATCCTTTAAAATGTATCTTTTGGTGCCACCTCATAGAAATTTTAGAATTTGTTGCCCGTCATCGAGGAATTGAAATCGATCCCTAGAAGATCAAAGCTATCTTTGAAATGTTACCTCCTAAAACCTTGAAGCAACTACGATCCTTTCAAGATAAATTGGTGTATCTAAGAGGCCTTATATCGAATCTGGCAGGACGATGTTAGCCCTTTTTTGCAAAAGAATCAAGTGGTATGTGTGTAAATCTTACTATTATTTGACATTGCAGAGAAAGACGTATTCAAATTGAACTGAATTAAGATGAAATAAAATATTATTTGAGAATAATTAGAGATGATGTCGTTCTTTGTGTATATATATATATTCTTGGAATTTTCTAATAAATTAAAAATAATTTAAAATTTCCATCTTATTATTTACTCTAATAATGTATAGTATTAAAAAATGTTTCAAAGTATTAAATTTAAATACTTTGCACCTTAAGACTAGCTTTAATTGAATGTACTCTTCTACTATCAAGAGAGATAATTAACCATAGAGCTGACACTTATGTGAAATCTCAATACTAAAATGTCGATGAAATATCCGGGTGTCGTCTTATCTAAAATTTAATGTGCTCGAAAAATTTTACCCGGAATTTTACAAGAAACTTTCTCGACATTTCTCAAGAGGGGTCGGAGCTCAAAATTTTGTAGCCAACATTATTGATATGCAATGGAAAAATTAATTTTTTTCTTGTGTCTAATTTTTCCCTTCATTTGTCCTTTTGAGAGTTTCAGCAAGCTCAAATTACACTAACATGGGTGAATTTATTCACACATTAGTCACACTAGCGTATGTGATCTACACATTAAATATTATTGAAGATTGTTACAATCTAAGTATCAAGTAAGTAGATGATGGTAGCAAGATTAAGTATTGAAGTCAAAGTTTATAACTTGAAAAATAAAATGTGCCTATATGTGATTAATTATTCGGGTATTCTAAAAAGAAATAACATATATAATCTTTATTGAATAAAAACATACATTTTGCACTCATATACGAATAACAATAGCAATTAAAAAGAAAAAAAAAATGTTACATGTTAACAGAAAAACATACACACTTATAAAAAGGGAAAATTTTATTTGAAGCCCTCAATACCTTTGGTTCTAATATTAGTAAGGGCTTGTTCTTACTCGTCATATGACACGTCATATACATATGTGCAAGGGTTCTTCGTGTAATAAAGAACATGGGTTCGCTCTTCGTTATATGCAACGAACCGTGGGATCTGAACTATTATAGGCCAGTCAAGACCTTGCGCAAACCTTGAAATGGTTGTGCTATTGCAAGTGATTTTTAAGATGAAATTATCATTATTAGCGGGCTTTCGTTTTTTAAGCAGCTTTTTCAGCCAGTTTGGGATTTCCTGCATCTTGTCATCAGTCAGCTCTAGTTCCTGAAGGGAATCTAGTTTCTTCACACAGTTCAGTGATGGGCATTCCACCACAGCAAGCTGTTTTAGTGCAGGGAGATTAGACACCATCTCCAGATTTTGATTAAAACAGATTTCCATTTCTTCTACGTTGGGGAGATTTTCTACTGCTTTAATGCTTTGATTGTCTACTATGGAAACCAAAATTTTGCATTGTTCAAAGCCTTTTGGAAGTGCTTTCAACTTTGGACAACCATGGATATTCAAAGTTTTCAAATGAGGAAAAGCCTGCGCCTTTCCCCTTCCGCGCTCGAATCCTTCTATCTCATTGTAGAAGCTCCACTCTTCCAGTTCAGCCATGCAGCCTATACTAAGCTCTTGGAGATTGGGGAAGGCTGTTCTTGTTGTTGTATGGGTGTCACCGCCAAGAAACTCAGATCCGATGCTCTTCACTGAATTTGCATTATATATGTATAGATGAGTTAATTGCGGCAACTCACCTGCGGATGGAAGTTGCTGGCATGAAAAATTATCTTGTAGAGTCAGTTCTGTCAAACAACGAAGATGGTCTCCAAAAGATGGAGACTTCATCCAGCTTGGGTATTGAGTGCCAAAAAAATTATTTATGAGGAGCCTTTCCAGAGATTTGGGAGGACATAGTTTGCCCAAGAAATCTTCAATGCGTGTGATGTCCTCTTTTGATGTAGGAAGTCGATCGGACGCTTTTGTGTAGAACAATTTAAGGTCAATAAGGCGAGTTAGTTTTTGAAGAATTAAAGCCCCTTGTTGAGCCCTTTCCATCCTCGAAATGCTGAGTGTTCTCAGCTGGTAAAGAGATTTGAGCAGCTCCTCCAAGCTGCAAGAGTCTTCTGGATTTCTTTGATCAGCCACAACAAACCCACTAAGGTAATTAATCTTCTCTAGCTTTGAAATGCCTTTTGGTATGGAGATTAGTGGAGTTTCTTCAACATCAAGATAGCGTAGATTGTGCAGCGTAGTGATGGATTTAGGGAGCCTCATCAAAAAAGTGCAGCCCCGAAGGTATAGAAACTGGAGGTTGACGAGTCTTCCTATGGATTTAGGCAACTTTCTGATTTTTGTATCATCCAGATTAAGATATCGCAAATGTATCAACTTACCAATGGACTTGGGAATGTTATCGATATCCACATTGTTAATTCGCAGCACACGAATGTGTGTTAATCCCATCAACAGTTTATCATTCAACACATTGATGCCATTGAAAGTAAGCAGAGTTCGCAAACATTTCTGTTGCAATACCAAATCTTTCATGGCTGATAAATTTTCTCTAGTTTCGATTGACAGTCTTCGAAGTTTCATACTTGAAGAGATGGCGGTTGCAGTCATTGCTGTTCCAGAAATGATTTCATCTTGTGAGAGAAACATCGCCATAGATCTCAATAGTCTGTGCATCCTGCAACAATTGTCATGTAAATGATCTGGTAGCAGAAGGTTTCTATCAATCAATTCGTTGAAATATTCTTCTGCTTCATCTTCTAATGAAACGGTTTCCTCTCTTATAAAGCCTTCGGCAACCCATAAATTAATCAGATCATCACGATCAAGCAGTGCATCCTCAGGAAACAAGGAGCAGTAAAGGAAGCACTGTTTGAGATGAGATGGAAGGTTATCATAACTGAGGTACAGCGCACGGTGCAGTGGTTCAGGAAGGTTTGACCACACATCATTGTTAAGAACTTTTTCCCATGCTGTTCTACTTTTGTCTTTATTCGCAGCTAGAAGGCCAGCAATGACCTTTATAGCTAAAGGGAGGCCAGAACATTTCTTAACAATTTGAAATCCTAAACCTTCCAACTTTTCAATCTCCTCCCCTCCATCCAAAAAAGCCTTTTTGCATAGTATTTCCCAACCAGTTTGATCTGAAAGTTGTTTGACTCGGTGTATGTGTGCCGCCCCCATCTGCCTCGCAATCTTTTCATCTCTAGTTGTGACTAAGATCTTAACAAAAGCATCACCGCTCTGTAATGAATTTCTAAACAGATCGACCCAAACATCTGCCCTCCAAACACCATCCAAAACAAGAAAAAGGCTCTTCCCAAGATAAGCGGACTGGAGTAATGGCAGGAGCTCGGTTTTATTTTCTGGCAGGGGCTCCGTTTTATTTCTAATATCACCATGATTACCTTCAGCCCCATTTTTAATCAAGTGCTGCAACAATTTTATCTCATCATAATTCTGTGAAATAGACATCCACACTTTATGTTGGAACTTAGTTTGTATCATCTTATTGTTGTATATTTTTTGAGCAAGTGTGGTTTTCCCTATCCCTCCCATCCCAGTAAGTGCAATGATGCGACATTTCATCTCGCGTTCTGCAAATATCAACGTCACCAACTCTTTTGTGGCTTCTTCAATCTCAGGTCCCAGCACATCAATATCTACCAAAGGGGCAGTTTGGTCGGTGTTCACCTTCGTTTGGTGCTTTGGTGGTTCTTTGCTCTTCACCGGCATGAATACGAAATTATCTTTGCAGATCTCGTCCAGTTTATCATTAAGAACTTTAATGCTTTCTGCAATCTCATATCGACGCGGAACACTTGCAAAGCAAGAGTATAAGAGGGAGAAGTCAAAGCATACCGTTAATTTTTTGGATGAGGATGGTTGGTCAGCTAGCGAAAGAGCAGTGCCTTCAGTTATGCAGGCATCAAGCATGTCTTCAGCATCATAATCGATGTCTTTGAGCTCCCTTACCCATTCTTTGATGGCTTTATCTTCATGTTGTTGCCGCTCCGCCTCCTCTAGGAATTGTTGGATTCTTGCCCTTCGCTGCTTCAGTTTTTCGAGGTCATCCCCGACGCCCCAAACCCTGACCACCTTCTCCCTCGCCTTACTTGTGAGCATTTTAACGAAAGGGTTCGCAGATGCCTCCAGGATCATCTCCATTTTTATTTGCTCTGCCTGAATAAGAAGAGGAGAGTGATGATGAAGGCAAAGGCAAGCGGCAAGCAAGTATTTATATTGGAATTTCGCTTGCTAAGCTGAACTGTAGCTGTTGTACTGAAGTTGAGCAGGAAACATCAATAAATCATTTAACACATATGGACCTCAGAGTTTGCTATTTAATTGAACGATGTAATCACTCATTATTTTCAAATCAATTTAATTTAATCTTATTTTAATTCTATTAAAATAAATCTCTATCAGCATTATTAAATAAAAGGACATCTCCATACATGTATTTTCATATCTAACACCTAAACTTTAATATTTACATTCATAACACTCAAATATTAAAAAAATATCATTTTTAGTAACTGCTTAAGAAATTATCAAATGCATATTTTTATGCATAAATATATAGCACCAAAGTGTTTTAAATGTAAATATCAATTTGTTAGTGTTAGATATATAAATTCATAAGAATTCTCTGTTCATATGTAAATTTCCTTTGCTATTATTGGTTTGATATATTTTGTGTTAAAGAGAAAAGTCATAGCCAACATATTTGACTGACTTATTGCACTATGATATATTTTGTGTTAAAGAGAAAAGTCATAGCCATCATATTTGACTGACTTATTGCACTAAGTTATTGTATTGATAAAGAAGTTACCTTGTTGGACTAAGCTGCATTTAATTAATCAATTAATAAGATTAATATTAGCCTATCTTTGAGGGATCCAAATATTGAATTTTAACATATTGCTAATGTATTTTACATTAATATTTTTTTTAAAATCAGCTGATTCATGAGCTAATGAGTCGAGTAGGGGTTCTCTTGAGTTAGGTCTTTTAGCTCATTGAATTTAGCTTGCGAACGACTAACGAAGCTAAACCAGAACTGATTCATGAGCCGACTTAAAATTTTTTCACCCCCTAACTTAGACCGACTAAATGCATTGATTGCCCCAATAAACTTTTCTAAGAATGGTGAATAGAGCCGATACATGTTGCAAGAAAATAAAAAGTCGATGCACTTGTATGTAATGAATTATCATCTTAGGATTGTATGATAATTCAACAAACTCAGATAAAAAAAATAACAACTAGATATATTAGAAGTTCTTGTGTGAAAAATTCAGAATGTGAAAAAATCACAGTGTCTGACTCAATCAAAATAATCCAATATGAATTGATGATTACGTGCACTGGTTCTTATCCTACAGACGAGACAGAACTGCAGAGTTTCTCAAGATACAATATATATTGCATAGTTGTCTGGGGTGATTGTAGTTGTTAAAAGTTCCTGGGACGCTAGTATCCTATCTTTAAGATGCGTTGCTACCCGGTGTTTAGGACACGTGCAGCTCCTCCAGATGCTTCTCTATTCCAGAACGTACGCTAAAATTTACAACATTTGTTGGGAGATTCGTACATGTTCCATGAAATTTTTTCTTGTTCATATGCAAATTATGTCCCTAATAAACCAACAAAGAATTTAGATAAAATAAAACACAAATAATACTCCAATAACTCAAAATTGAAGATTTCTTTTTCTTATACATTAAAGACGAATTATTATTAACTTTTTTGTATATGGAGCCCGTATGTGCAATCAAAAATTTTTCATATTTTATTTTATTTTATTGCAATATTTAATGCTTCTTTGAATGGTATTGCAATATATATATATATATAGATATAGATATATATATATAAGACATAATAAAAGAAAATTACAATTTCTAAAGAATAAATTGCTAAATTAACAACAACATAAAAATTTCTAAGAGAAACTTTGCTAGATATCCATAAGTAAATCCTACAGAGTCTGGCTACATAAGATAAGAAATACTTACAGACTGGTTACAGACTCCTTGAACGTGCTTAACTTAAAGTGAAGGAAGAGGGGCATGAGAGGGATGTGAAATGAAGAGAGGGATGTTGTGGATGGATGAGAGGAGCAACGGATGGATGAGAAGAGTGAAGAATGCCCTCTTATTTATGCTCGTATTTTCTGTCCGGACACCTGACGTACCTCTACATGCGGTGTAGGTTATTCATGTGTTATTTTTCAGGTTATTTCTGGGTTATTTTTAATTATCCCGAAATAACCTAGAAATAACCCAAAAATAAAGATGACGTGTTATTTCTGTGTTATTTCCGGATTATGGAAAATAATCCAGAAATAACCTAAAAATAACTTAGTAATACCCTGCGCCACACGTAGAGCTACGTCAGGAGTCCGCACAGAAAAATTTTTGTTTATTTATAACCATAAAAGATGGAGTTTGGAAAAGTAAAAAGTTAGAGGCCCTTAAATCATGCTTTTGAAAAATATGGATAATACTTCTAAAGTAGTTCTAAGTCATCATTTCTAGAAAAAGAATATTCCTTTGACGAAAAATAGATGAATTTCTGGCCACGGTAAAAAGTAAATTTATGGTCCCAGTAAAAAGTGAATAGTAAAAATTTTTAACATTTTTAAATAATTCACATATTATGGTTCCATCATCCATGGATTGATTTTTTTTATACTTGATTTCATTCTTTTTATTTTATTTTCTTTTTTTGTATTTTCTTTTCATGATTTTTATCTTTTTCTTCTATTTTTTCTAATTAAAAAGTATTTTTCAATATTAAGATTTATTTTTTCTAATTCAAATTCGATTCTTTCTAATTTTTAAGATACATTTATATCTTCTTTCGATTTTATGAAATTTCTATGATCAAGATTATGATGTTTCTTTATATATATATATATATATATATAATTTTTTTTTTTTTTTGCCACGTCCATATTTTCTAAACCTAAAAAGGCTTGTCAAGTTGCCAAGCTATCAAACTGTCAAGCTATCAAGTTGTCGAGGCTAACGAGTTGCCAAGATGTCATGCTGCCAAGCTGTCAAGCTACTAAGCTGTCAAGTTGCCAGATTAAAGAGCTATCAAACTCATCCGCCTAGCTAAGTTGTCGAGCTGACGAGCTGCGGAGATGTCATGTCACCAACCTAATGAGCTATCAAGCTCATCTTACACTCTGTCGAGTTTAACTACATGATATGACATAAAGCTGTTTGAAATAACATAAAACTGTAAGTAAATGTGTAAATATGTAAATATGTAATAATTGTTAGGTGGAACATAAATAGCCCAAAATATAAAAATGCTGATCATGTGCGATGGCAAAAAAGTCTAATTATTCTAAAATAAGAATTGTACTAAATAACAAAAAAAATTTATTGAGCAATTGCGTGGACGGCGAGCAAGTGATACCAAAGCCATTATTAGGTAGTGATTAAATAATTTCAACATCTTTTGGCTTTTAAAGCTAATATTACATTTGTGGAAGATTTACATACATACCATTCGATTCCTATGTAATTTCATATATTACGACTTACTTTTTTAGGAAAAGGAATTAAGTGGCAAGTATGTAAATGCCCCTATAATGGTGAAAAAAATACCGATCAAAATAATTAATATTAATTTATTTAATGTAAATAATCTTGAAAGACTAATTATAATATGGCTGATAAATTCACAAGATATGGAATTCAATAAAATGGCTTCCATTTATTTTATTTCGATATTATTTAATGTTTTCAGTTGCTTTTACTAAATTTTGCTACTTACACTTCATATTATAAAGTTTAGTGGGCCACTTAAAATATTTGTGATTATTGTCATTGTTGGGTCCCAAGTCCCAAAAATGAAAAGTAGAGGCTTGCGATAGATAGTCGACATCTAGCGTAAAATTTGTCGAAAAGTTATGTTAAGAATTTTTTTATCATTGTGTAAATGCTAGTGTCTTCTGGAAGCAACATGTTGTATAGCATGAATACACTGAAAAGTATGTTAGGGCAACTACACCGACCCCGGGAGCAGTGTCGAAGGGTTCCCACATTAGTTTATAAAACTAATATTAAAATAGTATCTTGGAATATAGCTACTCTCACTAATAAATTAATAGAATTAGTTGTTATTATGAAACAGAAATATATATATATATATATATATATATATATATATCCAAGAAACTAAATGGGTTTGAGAAAAGGTTAAGGAGATTAATAATTTTGATTTTAAATTTCGGTATTTAGGCAAGAGTCGCAATAGAAATGATGCAGGTTTCATTATAGAAAAGAGTTTGAAAGATATTGTTGTACAAATTAATAGAATTAGAGATAGAATTATAGCACTTACGATTATTGTTGATACTAAAATTTTTAATATTATAAGTGCTTATGCACCTCAAGTAGATTTAGATATATATTCTAAAGATAAATTCTTGAATGAATTAAAAAACTTAATACAAACGATGCCTCTTAAAGAAAAAATTTTTATTGAAGGAGATTTTACTGAACATTCGTAGAATGATAGAATACTTTAAAAATATTCATGGTAGCTATGATTTTGGAGTGATTAATAAAGAAAGAAAAGTCAAATTAAATTTTGCTTTAACGTATGATTTTGTTATTGTTAATATTTTATTCTAGAAAATATATGAGCATATTATTACTTATAAGAATGGATCTAATAAAACACAAATTGATTATTTTCTTATGAGAAGAAAGATCATCGATAATGTAAAGATTGTACTATGATATACTCAAAAGCCAAGGATACATAATCACATGTTTCTGGGGAGAAACACGTTCATTGTTGTAGTTATTTGTATATTTAGATACATAAGCATTGTTTAGGCTAAAGTGTTAGGAGAGCTCTTCCAAGACTTTCATGTTCAATTTACTAAGCTTAAGAGATATTTTTTGTTAAAAATATTATTTTGAAAATGTTCTTGATTTGAGTTTGAGAATATTTATAAGTGAAAAAAGGGTTCATTTTGATTTTGAAAGTTTCTTAAAGGGGTTCTTCATATTTTAAAGAGAGTTTTGATTTTTTATTGAAGGCCATATGGATTTCTAATAAAAAGACCCAAATTTACACATAAACATCAAGAAATTCCAAAAATTTCACATATAACACCTAGGACCTTCCGGTTTTGGCATGAGAGACATGGAAACATGCTCAATTTCAAGGGTCAACATAGAAAACTAACATGCAATCATGCAATTGAATCAAAGTACACTATGAATTCAAAAAAAAAAAAAAAAAGTCGGTTTTAATAAAACAAGTGTATAAGCATGTGAAAAAAAAA